TCTTGTGTTGGGGGCTCCAGAAATGGACACAGCACTCCAGGTGGGGCTTCATGAGTAGAGCAGAGGGGGAGAATCACCTCCCTCGACCTGCTGGCCACACTTCTCTTGATGCGGCCCAGGATACGGTTGGCAAATATGAAGTGGTATGATATGGAATATCTCATTGGCATATCCAAATGCCAATTTGGGTTTTGCTAATTACTATGCTTCTCCCCCTTCAGTCCTTTGCACTTGCAGACTAGCAAAACACAAAGTCCTTGGACTTCCAGTAACAACTAAAAACATTAGTATGTTATCAACATTCTTCTCTTACTGAAACCAAAACATAGCATTACTCTAGCTAAGAAGAAATTTAACTCTAACCCAGCAACACCAGGATGAAGAAACAGGTATGTCTGTTAGTGGGAAAAAGGCTAACACTGCCGAGGTCATCTAAGCAAAGCAATAAGTCACTTCAAGAGACAGACACCAGTGTGAAATTTCATAACCAGCGGTTACAGCAGCTTAAAGGAAGTATTTCTGAGGACTTACGTATTTGAATCACAGAATAGGCAACACACTGATTTATCAAAAAAATCAGTACACATTTATTGATCTGACAGGTCAGAGTAAGTGTGGTAAACAACTCTGTAGAATTTGGTTTTCACCTTTTACAGAACAATTAGCTCAAACTCACCATCCTCATTTCAAAACCCAAATTTGCATAGTTTAGTTCTACCTTATTGCTACAGTTCAGTGAGTGCACTTTTTAATTTGAATTAATTCAATGCTAAAAGTGCTATTTACTGATGAAGTACTTGCAAACCAAGACAAGTAAACTGAAATTGTTACTGTAAATTCTTGCACCTGACTTCAGCCAAGCCATGCTCACATCAGACTGCTGTCTTACCTCAGACCACAGGAGTTGCACGGCTTGAACAAGTTCCTCCTCTGTTTCCCAACAGCAATGACTTACACCATGACAAACACGCTTGGCAAGTCAGACACAGCCCCACCTTTTCCAAGCACAAGGAGAACTTCATGTTACGACTATAGCAAAGTTTTACTCTGAATTTTATCCTGCACAAGTCAAAACGAATTTCCACTTCCAGAAGTATTTTCTTTAGAGACAACCTTAGAAGGCTGGTAGTCGAGTGCTCTTCTATCATAGCTTAGCTTCTGAGACAGAAGCAATCCGATCTGTCATTAACACCAGAGACTTCCAAACAGGAAGTTTAGCCCTCACCCCTAGAAGCTCAAGCTATGCAAAGGTCAGACTGGAATTTAAGAAGTCTTCCTTGTGGTCCAAAAAAATAAGTTCTCTTTTTCTCTAGACCAGACAAAAGCAACAGAAATAACATATTCCTGAAACAACCAAATATAATTATTAGTTAATAGATCTGAAGATACTAAATACAGACTCAATTAAAAGCTACTATCGATTCTATTAAGGCTTTTTCCCCTTCCTATACTTCATTTCCCCACATAACTGACCTTTTCAAATGAGTAAAATTACAATACTGGGAAAGTATTCTTTGTCTCATTAAACAGTTACACCCTGGAAATATCTATTAAACACTCCCAAAAGATAAAAAAATTAACATTAGTATCTAGTTTCCCCCAGACACCAACAGCTTGACAGGTTCTTCAAGGCCAAGCAAAGTTCTCTCGCAGCCTGCATGTTTTATGTTATATTAAACCACATTTTTTAACATTTATGGAAAATTTTTTTCCCTGCTTTTCTGACAAAAAGCCACACCAGGAAGTTTATTTTATATTTTTATTGTATGCCAAAGTTCATTAAAGATAGGGTTTTGCTTGTATACAAGTTACTCAAAAATCGTGTCTAGGCAGAGATTCGTTAGCAATCCGACTTATTTTAAAGCATAGGTTTGTTCAGTCAGGCCACAAAAATAATATTGTGTACAAGCAGTAACTAAAGAGCTGCAGGTTCAAGGAGTTTCCAAGTATCACAGAGCTTGAGATCTCATCGGGAAATAAAAATTAAATCAAAGCAGTCACAATATAAAATAGCAGCTCCAGGTAGCTTTTTCAAGTTTTAACTTTATTCAGAAAGTGACACTCAGTTCAGTTTGCTTCATTCTTTGAAGCTTCATCGAAGTTTTCAACAAGATCTAGAAAAAGAAGAATGTTGAAATTAAAAAAAAGTTTGACTCACTTCCACTTTGCCAATTTTTGGTTTGGTTCCCCCCCCCCCCCCAAAGTTCTACTTCATATCAAGAGTTTAAAATACAAAACATTTTTAGCTTATAAACCACAGACCAAGTAACTTAAAAGCTTCATGGTTTATTCTATTTGCTCAGCCAAGTAAGTTTTAGATGGTTCATTATAAAGCACAATTCTAAAAGTATTTAACTTCACTACACCCACAACAGGGCAAAGTGATACTGAGGAGGTAGCTTCTTCTCACTCTTATTGAATATTAAAGAACTATCTTAGCCATAGCTAAGCCATAGCTTCTACACTGGACAAAAATGCTAACTCAAACCAACAGTCCCTTCAAGTCTCTCATGGTGACTGAAAACAAAATAACCTGCCCACTGGAATTTTGTGACAGCAAGTGACTAGGCAATATTCTTACCCAATCCTACACTGGATGTTACCTCTCAGCAAAATTTACTTCCTTGTTTCTCCACTGCATGCTTGTTCTTACCTGGAACTTCATCATCATCATCTTCACCAGTAGCAAGTGGTGCTTTTCCATCCACAGCTGCAAGAGCAAGTAGTTCAAAAGCATCAGTCAAGCTCACCATAGGCATCTTGATTAGTTGTTTTGCTTTGTGTTTTTTGAAAACATTATCAGTCTAAGCTAAACTGCAATACTTTATCCAGTTCCTCTGCTGAGTAACAATCTCCAACTACGCAAGGAAGTTCACATTCCCTTTGTTACCGATAATGCTCAAGCAGCCCAGCAGGGAAGTGAGAAGATGCATGCTAAAGCAGTTTACTAGTCACTGTATCTAGGGATAATGAGTGCTTTGCATGGTAATCATTTTCAGCTACAAGTGCAGAGACTGATTTTACTGATTTCCCTTAAAAGCAGCTTGGTTTATTGACTACTAGGTGGTTTTCAAACTTCACATATTTTAAATCAGCAAGTTTTAAAAGGATCTTATGATTCCAGGCCTCCAATGAAAACTAAGGTGTAATTGTGAAGCTGGAGGCAGGCATGTGTAACTAGAAGACAGTATCATTCCCTGGCAAAGTCGGAGGAATATGGAAGTGGATGCATAATTTTACACTTAAGTGGCTGAGGTAACCATGTGTTCTGGTCCACATCTCTACTGACGCAGTGATTTCCTAACCATTCCCACTGGATTTGCCAGAGCTAGAGAGACTGCCCATTTCCACTGTAGCAGATCAATGAGCATCTGTGAAGCCACAGCACTATGATGCTAAGAACAGATATCTCAGGCCCCTGGGTGCCTGTGAACCTACTTTTACTGCTATTCTTAGCTGTACGACCAACAGCAATCGGCCTCATACTCTCCATCACCTCAGTTTTATCCTAATTACCCTAATTAATCCTTCCCAATTTTCAAGAAAAGCATGAGGAAAGAGCTTAATTCATACTAGGCCTGTATCCCAGTTTATAGCGAACTAAACAGATGAATGCATAAACTTTGGTCTGAAAGGGCTTGGGACAAGGTCACTGCTAACCCTTGTTTTCTAACACCAGAAAGCTGTTACGGCTTAAGCGCATCTTAGTGTCAAATACGACATTTTAATAGTAAAGTGGATTATTTCTTCCTAAATCATCGGCATTCTCTCTCATCCCCAAGACCAGACTAAGTTTACTTCAGTACCTGCAAATGCAGTCATCACAGACACTTGACTCATCAGTGTCAGACTTCCAAATCTAGCAGATAATGCTGAATAGAAAGGTCTGTGCAACTACTTTGGCAAACTACTTTTGTTCCAAAGTGGAACACAATAGATGTTTATTAGGTCATACACAGCAAGCACTTTAAACAAGATTCACTAATATTAAAACTGCACAATTTAGCTTATTCAGAACATATGCACCTTGTTATAAGAAGGGAGATCACAGGGGATAATTGTAAATCCTTCAAGTTTTGTTTTGTTTTTTTCCTTTCAAGCCTTGCTGCTAGCACAAGGCAGTCACAAAGTTAATGTTAGGAAGGAGGGACTTGAGCTCCATGGGGAGAGAAGCCATTTACCCCACCTCCTGAAGACTACTTCTAACAGGATTTTTTCAGTGGGAAGTTGACAGGAGGGAAGCATCATCAACTTTAGGAATGGAAGCAGAGGCTGTCTTGCTTGCAGCAAAGCACAGGAAGGAAAAAAAAACCGTAACAATCGAGATTAGAACTACCAGAAACTAGAAAATTATACACTTCTCCCATTTTCTCTGTATTTAGGATGTCCCACACCTTGGAAGGAATGGACCTAAGATATTTCAGAAAAGCAGGAAGATCGTACATGCTCAAGGAACGTTCCCAATGTCAACAAGCCTGTCTTTCAGTCCCAGTTCTCATCCTGTAGCAGCAGCATCTTTTCCAAACACCACATACTTAAGTCCATCCTCTACTTTTCCCACAGCTTTAGGAAAAACAAGTGTTCATTTTCTTTTACTAATTTAAGGATGGAATAGGAAGTTGGTGTATCTAACTTAATGCTCATACCAGTCCTGTTTTCCACAAACAGAAGTTATAAATACTTCCTTACAAATACTGTGTAATTCCCTCCTAGCTATCAAAAATCCCATGCAAGAAATACCTTCACCCCACCTGTAAGGCAGCAAAGCAGTTGGAAGATGTCCATCTTCTAGTCCCTCTCCCCATTACTTGTTTCCATTCAAAGTGTCAGAACAGACTTACTCAAGAGTTTCTTTTTTAAAACCTAACTCTTCCAGAGTAACCCATCTACCTAGCTTTAACGAACAGGGTTCGTCAAAATACAGCGACCACATCAAGAAGTAAACTACCATTAAATTAAGCTACAGCTTCCCAGTCCTCGCCCAGCTGCAAGGTATGCTGACAGGTGCCTCCGCTTTGTTCGGTTATATCCATAGTTGGATTTGAGCTATAAATAAAAACTAAGAGTTCCATTTCTTTATAAGCTTTTTATCATATGCTTGCAGACAGCAAGAGCACACTGAATTTCACTGCTGCTGTACCAATAAGCCTCATGTCAGCTGCCAGCATGAAACGCAGTCAAGTTTCAACTTACACTGCTTGGGTAGAGCTTCTGCCAATCTCCTCAGGCTGGTCAGGCTGTCAGCTCCAAGCTGATTTAAGATGCTAGGAAGCATTTCTGTCAGCTGCTTTGTCTCAGCATGGCCGGTGATAGTGAAAGTGTTAGCAGCCAGAGATGCCTGAACTTTAGGGTTATTGAAGTGAATGACTGTTCCTTGGTTGGTAAACATGTTTACCTGCAAGAAAAAAAAAAAAAAAAAAAAATCAGTATTTGAAGCAGTTTAGCAATATTTTTTCAATTTAACAGGAAACTGAAGTTCTTAAAGCTCAACAAAAACCTACTGATAATTTATAGACAAGTTTAGGATGTTACTTACCAGGGAACTGATTTTGATACATTTTATATTTCTATATAGAAAAGGGTTTTTTTTCCTTTGAAGCAATTACCTCCTCAATTCCAGAAATATTGTTGACTCCTAGTTTCTTCAAAGAAAACTGAAGTTTCTTGTCATCTGCTGTAGCTGTTCTGTGTACAACCTTCTTCTTTCTGCGGGCAGTACCCTTTGAGAGAAAAAAAAAAAAAAAAAATCATCTTACAAATTAACACTTAAGTAGTTCCTCATAAAATCGAACACTCAAAGCCATGTAACTATTCCGCAGCCATCTACAAATCAACTGAACATACAAAGTTCTACGTCTGTGTCACAGTGTACACAACCCCACCCTCCCAGCTGCACTGCAGCAGTCTTTCCCTTGCTATAAGACAAACTTTTCATGTCTGTGAGAAGTATGTGGTTTTAGGAAGCAATGCACCAGAGAGTGTTTATTTCACAATTCTTACAGGGATTCTGCAGCATCTTAGAAAAGTAAAAAGAAATCTGCAAGTTTACCCTTATCTGTTATCACAGGCATAAAATGGAAGAAAAAATACAATTTTAGGTAAGTTCTGAAGCTTATCAATTTTTTCCTTAGATCACCTTTCTTAAATTGTAGCCAAATGTTTATAGTAGTCAGAGGTTAAAAAAAGTTACCAACACACACTACCTGACAAGTATGAGAAAACTCAGAATACTCACTTTTTATTCCAAATAGTTATCTCCCATCTGATGGACTTAGACACACATATTTGAAAAACACTTACTTTCCCAAAATATTTTATAATTAAGTTTAAAAAAAAATAAATAATATTTCTACGTATTATTCCAGACCACTTCTGTTTAGAAAGCAAAACAAGCAAATGTTAAGTTTCCCT